TCTCGGTTACAGAGCTCTTACAGCACGGGAAAATAAAGGTGGTCCTATAAAGATAAGAAAAATTGAAAAAAATTGAGAAAATTATACAGAGATTTGTATAAAATGTACGGTAAACAAACAGGCTGTGAGTAAGACGACCATGTTAAGCTGCATCATAGAGTCGTGCTGCAGTAAGAACGACCTCCTTCCTACTGCTGAACGAGCTGCTCCGTGTTCAGTCTCATGCAGGGGTGGGAGGTGATGGATGTTAGCTTAGACAACATCCTCTCCTCCCCAACCTGCTCGATGGACCTCAGCGGACAGTCCAGGACAGAGCTGGCCCTTCTGACCAGTTTGTGTCCCCCCGTCCCTCTCTGCCACCATTACAGCCGACCACAGAATAGAAAATCGCAGACGCCACCACAGTGTCGTAAAAAAAACTATATTAATGTGAAGAAATATAACTCAGTTTGACCGTTGAAGTGACTCTTTGTGTTCGGAGGATTTGTTTGTTGTTGAGTCCGATGTTGAAATAAGTTCTTTAAACGATTGAATATGAAGCGACATGAGCAAAGAGCACAAACCTGCTGAGGCTGTGTTAGCTCAGTGAGAGTCACTGTTAAATACGAACACGATGATAGCAGCAGTGCTGCCACGTGTGAGACAGAGACGACCGATGGGTTTATTTGGTGCTTCAAGGCTTCAGTTAGTTAAGGGGGAGGAAAAAAAAAAAATGTGTTCACGTTTGCAGTTTCCTTGTTTGTTTTTGTACTTGAACACTAAAGTGTCCTCCAATGAGACGACGGTGTCAACAGACGCCCGCGGCTCATTTGCAGAGACGCTTTTATTACACGGAGCAAAAACACAATAAAACTGGGTTTAAAAAACTTTCTTTGGTCTGACGTTCGACTTCAGGTAGAAACGTGTGTTGAGGCACTGACGGCTAATGTAAATGTTATCAGTGTTTACCCCGACACTGATAACATGATAACACCAACGACAGGAGGCATCGTTGGAGTGTTTTTCACTGCTGCAGGTAACGGGGATCAGAAACTAAACGAGCAGCACCCTGACCTGGAGCAGAGCAGCTCTGTAAGAACCAGTCAACCAACCATAAACTACACAGTGAGTGTGCACGGACACCTCAGTGTTTTAATTAATGAAGGAAGACAAAATGAACAAAGACTATGTCAGTTATACGTGTTTCACTGTTAACAGTCGACTTAAGTGAACGAGATGCTTTGGGATGATTTTAGTTAAACTCGTCACGCCCCGCCCTTCACAGAGGGGGCGCTGTCTCGTTTTAAAATTTACATCCATCCAGAAATCAGCACTAAAAATCGTTTAACACATGAATAAAATTAACTAACACAAGCTGAACACGTCTTTAACTGAATCTAAAACTTTTTATTATTAAATGTGTAAAAAAAATTAGGATTTTTTGAGCCACAAATTCAAACTGATGTGAAACATGAGATTATTCAAGAGCAAAAACACCTTTAAGTCCTAAAATCTGTCAATATTTCTGTCATGTCAGGCTGACATAACACCACACACACACACACACACACACACACCTTGATATGATGACCCTCCACGTAACGTGTTGCGTCTCTGAAGAGACGGTACATGACGAAACCCTGAGGGTCGATGCTGTCGATCAGAGGATACGCCGTCTGCACACGAGAGGAACACAAAGCACGGATGCAAAGAGCTGATTTAATGTGTCGTCACGCCTCAGATTAGTAAATAAGACAGAAATACGCTCCTTTCCCCCCACGTAAGTTCAAAGTGGTACGATCCCATTAAAGAGGGCCGACCCGTGTGGGAACAGCAGGAGAGCAGCTGCTGAAACGCTCACCATGCCGGTCTCTGCGGTGAAGACGACGATCTCGTAGAGCGGCGCCACCTGCTGGAACAGGTAATCGATGCCTGGACGTTTCTTAAAGCGCCAACCTGTTGCCAACTGCAGAGAGAAAGAGCAGCTGTTTAAACACATCTGGA